GGCAGAGCGCTCTGGGAAGGGAACCACAGGAGGAAGGGACCTGCCTGGCCCAGGGGCGGAGTGTGGGTGTGGGTGGGGCCACTCTAGGCTGTTTGGGAGGGCACAGCCTACCCTTGCCTATGATATCCACCACCCGTGGTTCAGATGCTCAATAAACCTTCTGTTTCCCCGGCTGACTGAGAGTCACGTCTGACTGCGGAGTTGGAGGGCAGGACCCTCTGGCTTCCTCAGGAGCCCGCCTGGGTGGACTGGCTGTGGGAAGCGCACGGAGGGGCAGAGGATGCTGAATGCTCGAGGTCAGACCCAGGAAGGTGGAAGCTGTGTGAGCTGTGTGTCCTGCAGACAGGCTGCTCACAGGAAGGCGACTGCCCCAGAGTCCTGCTTGGCTTCACAGGGAGCAGTTCCAGAGCATCGCCCGGGGACACTGTGACAAGCTCCCATTACAAAGATTGGTAAGTTGGGCAAGCCAGACGAGGGGGTCTGGACCGAGCAGTGCCAGGGGGGCTCTCTGAGCACCGAAGGAGGCTATAACCCAGGGGCTGGGGCTGGTAAACCCAGACTTGGACAAGCCCTTTAGGGTGTTCACAGACACACCTCAGGCGCAGGGCTGGGCGCGGGGCTGATGTAGGCTGATGCAAAGGGGGAGCGACACCCCATTGTGCACCTGAGCAAGAAGCTGCTTCTCTGGGAGCAGAACTACGGGGCCATCGAGAAGGAACGTTGGGCCCTGGGTTGGTCTCTTAAAAAGCTGCAGCCCTGTCTATTTGAGTGGCATTTTGTGGTGTACACTGACCACTCGCCCTGACGTGGCTGCACCGGCTGAAAGGGGCCGATGCCAAACTCCTAGGGTGGAGTCTGATCTGCCAGGATGATCATATGGGGGTGGTCCATGTTAGGAGGAGCATGAATGTTATAGGTGATTCGTTGTCCCGAAGAGAGGGGGCCCTGAACTTCCCCAGGCTACTGGCTGGAGTGACCCCGCTCAGTTCAGACTCGAACGGGGGAGAGATGTGCCAAAGGTGGGGATGTTTGTAGTGTTCTACGTGAATAACGTGTGCACGCCTCAGTTTCCCTGTGTGCTGCATGTTTAAGAATGTGGCGGGAAAGGGGTTTGTTGTTGTAGAGGACCAGGTGTGACCTCGCCAAGCAGCTGGGACCCCCAGACAACGGCCTGGAGATGGGGAACCCCAACAACTGCTGCCCTGGTGACTAAGAGGCCCACCCCCGCTTGGGAGCCAGGGGTTCTGGCCAGAGGGGAACAAAGGACGGAAGAGAGAGGGCCCCAGTGACCTGTTTACCTGGGACAGAAGACAAAGGGCAGGGGAGGAGCTGTTGGGAGAGATGATACAGGATGCCTTGGCTGGAAGGAGGCGTCTCTGGGCTGGGAGGGAGAGCAGCCAGAGCCCCCCTGGATGTGGGACGGCCCTAGATGTGCTGGGCTGAGGGAGGCCAGGCCTGAGGCCGGAGAGTTTCCTGTGCTGGGTTCAGACGTTCAATAAACCCTCCTGTGTTATGCTGTCTGAGAGTCGCTCCAGCCTAGAGATCAGGGGGATTATTCCTCTGGCCGTGGAGGCCCTGGGGGTCCAGAGCGAGGGGGCTCCCCAAGGGGGCCCATGGCAGAGACAAGCGGGATAAGGCTCAGAGAGGTGCGGTTCCAGGAGGCAGAGGGGCTTAACCCCCGAGAGTGAGTGGACCCCCAAGAAGAGCTGTCACACTGAAGGGGGTTCCCCTCAGGGACCGTACGGGGTCAGGAGAGAGCACGAGTCCTGGGAGTCCATGACAGGACCTCCTAGCTGTGATGTGAGGCTTCTGGCAGGGCAGGACAGAGGAGGCAGGAGCTGGGAGGGGAGTCCGTCCCTCATTTTAAAGAGAAGTTAAAGGCTAGGATGGACTTAGTGCATCCGACCTTGAAAGGCGTCTCGGAAAGCGCAGTGTGACAGGCAGCATGATGGGACCCCTGGCGCATGCTCAAAGGAAAAGGGAACAAATCCCGCTACAAAGGGGGCCGGTATCTCACTGCTGCTTGCACTCTGGGGGGCATGGCAAGAGATCCCCCCTGCTCCACGTGGCTTAGGCCTAAGGACACACAGAGCTGGCTTTTATAGACACTTCTATTACTCTTTGAAACCTACAACTGGGACTGGTTTGTGTGTTTGTTTGTCTTTAACCTTGTCAATGCCTCTTTTATTTCCCTTTCCTAGCCATCAGCCCGGCCAGAGTTCATTACATAACTGGCTGCAGCCGCTAGCTTTGGGGAGGGATCTAGGGGCCATGATGGGGCCCTTGGCCCTGGCAGTAACCGGAATAGTGCTGTGATTCGTGGTGAGAGGGACCATCTGTGACACAGCAGGGATGGGGGAGTGTTGACCTGGGAATGTGGCAGGGGGGTTTCACTGGGGATGGGAGACCTGAGAGCCTGTCACCTGAGCCAGGAGGGGGAGGGGGAGGTGACACCTTTTCCCCGGGAAACTGGACAAAGGCTGCAGGAGGGAGCCGGGGGGGGGGGGGGGGGGGTGTTGGTTTCAGTTTGGGGCTGGGTGGAGGAACGCAGGGAACCCCAGGGCTGGGGTCTAAGCTCCCTGCCCCCCAGAAGGACTTGACTGAGGGGTCCTGGGGGTACCCACAAGCTCTGTTTGGGACTGTGTTCCTGTTGTCCAATAAACCTTCTGTTTTACTGGCTGGCTGAGAGTCACAGTGATCCCAGGAAGAGGGGTGCAGGCCCCGGACTCCCCCACACTCCGTGACACCGTCCGTCCCAGGGAGCTGACGACAGCGCGGCACGCCCACGGGGACTGTCTGGGACTCCAGCGGTGCCTGAGGGTTCACACGTGATACTTGGTTAGTGACTTCTAAGAACCGGCCTCACAGTCGGTTTGGGGGGTGCCCTTGGTTCCCAGCGGGCTGTCCTGAGGCTGGTTCCATGCTCGGGAAGCAGGAATCTTTTGGTGGGGTCCCCCCACCCACACAGCACACGGGCCCCCTTGAGCTTGGGGCCCTAAGCAATTGCTTAGTATGCTTGTGCCTAGCGACGGCTCCGAATGCAGGACAGCTTGACCGCACTGACGAGGTCACACTCCCCCGTTCCACCGGGCTCCCGGGGGCTCTAACGAGGTCACGTTCCCGTTCCACCGGGTTTTCGGGGGGCTGTAACGGGGTCACACATCCCCCTCTCGGGGGGCTCTAACGAGGTCACATGTCCCCATTCTGTGGCGCAATTTACCTGGGGGCCGCAACGCGGCCTTTGGCCCTGGCAGTAAGCGGAATAGTGCCGTGATTCGCGGTGAGAGGGACCGTCTGTTTCGCGGCTGGCGGAAGAGGTCGGTGCATCCTGGCCGGCTCTGTGCTGTTTCCCCATCAGGGAGCACTGCCTGCCCGGGGATCCTGCGCTCGACCATGAGGCCGGGTCTCTGGGGGAAATACTAGGCAAACCAGCTAACCAGGGACTGTGGGATCTGCATACCCCTGCCCCACACCTCCCTCCCTGCCCTGCAGCTGAAGCCCCACAGCCGCCCCACCCCCCGCCAGCCGTAGGGCCCGCTGGCGACCAGTGTGGCTAATCAGTCGCAGGGTTACCAGAGCGAAACCAGAGCCATCATCCTTGGTATTGCTAATGCCTCTCGATTCCCAGCTGGGATCAGGGCCCCATCGGGCCTGGGGCCCTACACAGCCCAAGAGGGATCAGGGGCCCATCAAGCTGGGTGCCTCACAGGCCCCAACAGGGATCAGGGCCCCGGGGCTGGGGCTCATGGGGTTGGTGGGAATGGGCCATTGGGACTGGGGCCAACAGGAAGGGCCCTGGGCTGATGGAGCAGGGGCTGCAAACTGTCAATGGCCAGACAGGGGTAAGTGTCCCCATAGAGCTGGGTCTCCAGTCTCTGACAGTGACTATGTGACCCGGGCCCGGCTCCATGGGGCCCACTGCACGTGCCCAAGGACCTTCTCCCACAGCGATTGGGCCCATTGTGCCCCCCGAGTGCCGATGCCCCGCTCTGGCCCAGCTCTCTGTGGCGTGTTTGCAGCATGCCCAGCCCCAGCCTCTTGCACTGCCCCCGGGGGCTCTTCAGCCCCTCTGGCTGCACAGCAGGGCCTGGCGGGCACCTCCCCTGCCTGGCCTGGCCACCCGAGCCCCCGCTCCAGTGTGGGCTGCTGTGAAATCCCAGGACCACGGGCCACCCCGCCAGGCCGCCACGCCAGAGGCTGCAGCTGCTGCCCCATCCCACCCCAACCCACCTCCACTTCCCTGCTCCGCCCCACCTCCACCCCACTCCACCCCATTCCCTCCCCCCACCCCTGCTCCGCCCCATCCCACCCCAACCCACCTCCACTCCCCTGCTCCGCCCCACCTCCACCCCCATCTCACCCCATTCCCTCCCCCCACCCCTGCTCCGCCCCATCCCACCCCAACCCGCCTCCATTCCCCTGCTCTGCCCCACCTCCACCCCACTCCACCCCATTCCCTCCCCCCAGCCCCACTCCGCCCCATCCCACCCCAACCCGCCTCCATTCCCCTGCTCCGCCCCACCTCCACCCCCATCTCACCCCATTCCCTCCCCCCACCCCCCGCTCCGCCCCATCCCACCCCAACCCACCTCCATTCCCCTGCTCCGCCCCACCTCCACCCCCATCTCACCCCATTCCCTCCCCCCGCCCCTGCTCTGCCCCATCCCACCCCAACCCGCCTCCATTCCCCTGCTCTGCCCCATCCCACCCCAACCCACCTCCACTCCCCTGCTCCGTCCCACCTCCACCCCCATCTCACCCCATTCCCTCCCTCCACCCCTGCTCCGCCCCATCCCACCCCAACCCGCCTCCACCCCATTCCCTCCCCCCGCCCCCGCCCCATTCCCGCCCCGGCCGCCGGGCAGCGGGGAAGCAGCGGCCCCTGGAGCAGCAGCAGGGGCGGGCCGACGCGGTGAGTGGCAGCGGCTCGGCCAATCGTCGGCGGTCTGCAGGGCGATCGGCGTGCGCCGGGCCAATGGGCAGGCGCGGGGCCTGACGTCATGGCTGCGGGCGGCTGCGGGGATGGTGCGGGGCCGGGGAGCGCGGCGCGAGGCATGGCCCGGCGGCTGCTGCTGCTGCTGCTGCTCGGCGCGGGGCCCCTGGCCGGTGAGGGGGGGCCCTGCGGGGCCGGGGGGGAGCCTGCGGGGCCGGGGAGGGAGGTTGCGGGGCCGGGGAGGGGGGTTGCGGGGCCGGGGGGGGCCTGCGGGGCCGGGGGGGGATCCTGTGGGAGCTGTCCCTGTCCCGGTGCTGATCCCCGGTGGGGGGCAGGGGAGCTGTCCTGTCCCGGTGCTGATCCCCGGCGCCTGTCCCGTCTGATCCCCGGGGGGGGGAGCTGTCCTGTCCGGGGGATCCCTCCGCCCTGTGCTGATCCCCGGGGGGGTCCGGGGGAGCTGTCCTGTCCCGGTGCTGATCCCCGGGGGAGGGGGGGGGGACCCCGGGGGGCCGGGGAGCTGTCCTGTCCCGGTGCTGATCCCCGGGGGGGGCAGGGGGAGCTGTCCTGTCCCGGTGCTGATCCCGGGGGTCCGGGGGTGTCCCGGTGCTGATCCCCGACGGGGGGGGGGGCAGGGGAGCTGTCTCTTTGCCCCGTGCTGATCCCCGGCGGGGGGGTGGGGCAGGGGGAGCTGTCCTGTCCCGGTGCTGATCCCCGGTGGGGGGCCGGGGGGAGCTGTCCTGTCCCGGTGCTGATCCCCGGGGGAGGTTGGGGGGGGGTCCCTGCCCCTGTGCTGATCCCCGGGGGGGGTCCGGGGGAGCTGTCCTGTCCCAGTGTTGATCCCCGGCGGGGGGGGGGGGCAGGGGGAGCTGTCCCTGTCCTGGTGCTGATCCCCGGGGAGGGGGTCAGGGGGAGCTGTCCTGTCCCGGTGCTGATCCCCGGGGAGGGGGCCGGGGGGAGCTGTCCCGTCCCGGTGCTGATCCCCGGGGGGGGGGCCAGGGGGAGCTGTCCTGTCCCAGTGCTGATCCCCGGGGAGGGGGGCCGGGGGGAGCTGTCCTGTCCCGGTGCTGATCCCTGGGGGGGGGGGCCAGGGGGAGCTGTCCCTGTCCTGGTGCTGATCCCCGGGGAGGGGGGCCGGGGGAGCTGTCCTTTCCTGGTGCTGATCCCCGGGGGGGGGGGGGGCAGGGGAGCTGTCCTGTCCCGGTGCTGATCCCCGGGGAGGGGGGCCGGGGGGAGCTGTCCTGTCCCAGTGCTGATCCCCAGGGAGGGGGCCAGGGGGAGCTGTCCTTTCCTGGTGCTGATCCCCGGGGGGGGGGCGGGCAGGGGGAGCTGTCCTGTCCTGGTGCTGATCCCCGGCACGGGGGCCGGGGGGAGCTGTCCTGTCCCGGTGCTGATCCCCGGGGGGCCAGGGGGAGCTGTCTCTTTGCCCCGTGCTGAGCCCCATGGTGTGACAGTGCTGGGTGCTCGCGGCCTGGCACTGGGTGGTCAGACGCTGGGGTGATGGGTACGGTTGACCATAGTCCCAAATCACTCATAGGCTTCAAAGCAATCGCTCTGCCATCTCCCCTCCCCCATTCTGAGAACCCCCTCCTCCCATTACATCCCAGTACCTACCCCCACCATGCCACCCTACCCCGCTCTGACCCCGTGTCATCCCCACACACCCTGCCACCCTCCCATAGTGACACCCCCTGCACCCCACCCACTCCCTGGGTGGTGTCACCACCCAGCCTCATGGCCCTTGCCAGCAGCTAGGTCTCTGCCTCCCCCCTGCTGCTGCCGGGGGAGTTGCTCAGTCTCCATCCATTGGGGATCCCCGCCCGTGGGGGTCTGGGCCAGGTTCCTGTGCCCCCAGCCAGCCCTGTGATGGGGAGGGTGAGACTCAGGGCTGGGGAGTCACCCTGCCTGGCTGCGTGGGATCACTGACCCCACCTGCGAGGGTCACCGACGCACCTGGGCAGGGGGCAGCTGCCATGCAGCAGGAGCTGGGTTTATTCTCAGGGTGGAAGTAGAGATATTTCCACCAGCACCCAGGGCGTGGGGTTAATGCAGAATGGCTGGCTTTGGGCACATGACGGGCGCATTTCCGTGGGAAGGGGGGCGGAGGGGGAGATTGGGTGGGTTCCCTTGAGCTATGGCTCAGCTTGACAGCACGTGTACTGACGGTGAGGGCAATCGGAGACACGGCCTTTGCTCCAGGCAAAGGGGGATGTCTGTCAGGGTACGGCTGGCTGTGTCTGCCACACCTATCTACACACGCGCCCCAGCCCACACGCACGCACACGAGGAGCGGCGGGTTCAGTGCCCAGACGCTGCTCGGGCCACCCTGCTCCCGCGGCGATGAACTGTGCTGAGCAGACGCCCAGGCCACAGCCCCAGCACCAGGCCTGAGGTCCCTGCCCGGGACTGGCTCCTGCTGGGGTTTCCCGTCACTGTGGCTCGCAGGCTGGCTGGCGGGGGCTGTAATTAATGTCTCTCCTGTTCGTCCCCCCGGAGCCCTAGTGTACACGCCCGGGTGTGAGTGCTGCCGGGGATGCTCGGCAATTGCCTGGCGAGTTCCCGGGGAGGAACACTTGGCCACGATCATTCCGGCTCTTGTGATGGTTGCGCAGGAAGCTCAGTCCCACCAGGGACAGTGACGCTCAGCTCAGCTCCCATCACCAGCCTCCTGCTTTGATGCGATCGCTGCCAGGCCCATGGCAACCCAGCCAGTGGGAGCCAGATCCCACCTCCCCCAGGCCGAGGGCAGGAGACACGGCGTGTCTGCTCCCCAGGCAGCATCATCCGGGCCAGGGGCTGGCAGAGCAGCCTCTGCCCTGACTGGCGGAGAACTCCTGGGCCTGCTACAGCAATGTTCCCAGCGCAGGTCAGCTGAGCCGGCGAGGCACAGCCCAGTCCCACCACCGAGATGGGGGAATACGGAGAGGTTGGCTCACAGCCTGGTGTCCCCGGCCCCCAAACACCCCCATGTGTGACGGTCTGTTTCTCACCCACCCCAGAGAACGTGGCCCGTGTGGTTTGCCCTGTGCTCGTCCTGCACCAGGCCGGCTCTGCCTCTGGATGGGGCTGGGCGTACTGAGGTGCCTCCCTTGGCTCTGCTTCCATTTTATCATGGTCTCATTCCTCTTCTCTGTGCTGTGGCAAAGCAGCCCCAGCAGGCCATGCCCGCTGCCCCGGGAAGGGACTGGTGCTTGGGGAAAGGCGAGCTTGCCCCTGGGCCAGCCAGAGCCGGGACCGGACCCAGCCTGAGGTGGTGGGAGCAGGAGGTCACCGTTGGCATGGCGTGTGCTGGACAGGGAGGATCTCCAGGTCCCTCCATGGTGCAGCAGATGGCACGGAGCTGTCAGAGGGCTCCCACGTGGGTGCCGTGGGGCAGAGGCCCTGTGGGTACCTGGCAGCATGTGCTCCTATGGGGCAGTGAGGACAAGGCTGCCTTTTCAACAGGGCTGCAGGGCAGAATCCTCCTTGCAGGGGCCCAGCATGAGGCCCCCAGGGCCCCCCTGAAACGTTCAAAGGAGCATGCTCCTGCGGCTGGGGAGAGGTGCTGCCCCTCAGCGATGGAGCAGCAGAACCCCTGCTGGGGCAGGATGAGGGGCCGGGGGACACATCTCACCCCGGGCAGATCCCACACGGCACCAGCTGCCGGGCGCTGCGGGGACCGCTGGGTCCATTCGCTGCATGGAGCAGGCAGGCAGCTGGAAGTGAAGGCTTCATTCCAAACACACCTTGCCCCAGCTACCAGGAGCTTGGCCTTCGTGGCCCAACACAGTCCAGCGTGGCTCTGCGTGCCTGGATAGCACGGCATGCATGTCCCCGCGTGGCACAGGGCATGCATGGCGCGGCCTGGCACATGGCACACAGCGTTCACGGCCTTGCGTGGCACCAGGTGCATGGCACACGTGTCCCCTTCCTCGGAATCTGATGCCAGAGCTGCTGTAGGGGTCACAGCGATCCTGGCCTGGGTCAGAGGCCTGCCCTGACTCCGTGCAGGGGCACAGAAGGGTTTGGTGCCCAGCCCCCGTTCGCCCTAGGGCTGCTGCGGGTGCAGGGTGCAAGTACCTGGCTGGTGTCGCCGCAGCCTGTGCGTTAGTGTCTCCCACCTGCCATCAGGCAGCGCTCCCTGCGTGGCTTGCCCTGCCCCCACCCCCTTCGGGAGACACTGGATATAAAGGGGATCAGCCCCAGAGTGCCGGGACAGGCACCCCCAAGGGCGACCCAGAGGAGAGCCGAACTGGGAGCCTGAAAGCAGCCAGACAGATAGCCCCGCCAGGCTGGGGTCCGGCCAGCGCTGAGCCCCGGGCAAGCCCTACACCTGCTTGCTCAGCGCCGGGGGAGGGCTGGGGGAGGGGGGAGACCCCTCTGACTCTGCTGATCTGGACTTTCCAAACCCCTGTCAGTTTGAAGCACTGAGCCAGCTGTGCGGGGGGTGGGGGCCGTGTGTCCTGGCTTGTGGGGGAGCCGGGTCGATGGGTGGAGAGATTGGGGCAGGACAGGGTGTGACGCAGCAGCTGGGCAAGGGACAGGGACATGAGCGATGCTGAGGAGTCACAGGGGCGTGATGGACCCGAGTGCAGGTCACCTCTATCAAGGAGGCTGGAAATTCAAGGGGCTCAGAGACAGGCTCAGAGTGGGGCCACGAGAACCCCCCCCCTCCCATCTGAAGCGTCTAGGAGTGCTGGGAGGAATCAGGGCTGGGATGTGACAGGGGCACAGGGTAGCGAGTGGTTAGAGACGGGAGGCTGGGGCTGCCCTTCACCCGCCCTCCTGACACCAGGCGAGGGTGCACTCCAGGAACTGAAGGGCAGCAAATTCGTAAGGGGCAACGGAAAAGCTTTCTGCACATGGTGCACCATGGGCCTGCGGAACTCACTGCCACAGGGCTCCAGCAAGGATCAGCCACTCCTGGGGAGCAGGAGGGCAGCCAGGCACATCAGAGAGGAGGAGAATGGAAGGGACATAGGATGAGCCAGCTGCAGCTGAGGGGGTTGGGGGAACTCCCCCATGGACAAGCTGTTCTGCAGCTGGCCACCAGGGGGTTTCCTGCCCCTCCCTCTGAGGCAGCTGGTGCTGGGCCCTGTCAGCGCCAGGAGACCAGGCTTGATGGGCCCATGGGCAGCTGGCTGGGAATTCCTACATCCCAGGCCATTCTGGCTCATGGCCCCTCTTCCTTCCTCTCCCCCCTCCATGCCCTCTTGCAGACGGGCTCTTTGTGACTGATTACTTCACCCGCACGCCGCGCAAGCTGAGCCCCTTCCGCTCCTTTGCCAGCATCGAGCTCTTCCACTTCCGCATCCCTGAGGACACCCTGGTCGCCGTCTGGAACCTCATCACCTTCAAGGAGCAGGGCGGCACCTTCGGGGACCGGTGCCCGGACCGCAGCGTCACCGTGTGGGTGTCGGGGTGGGGGAGGCCGGGGGCTTGGTGCGGGCCCAGGACTCCGGTGCCTGGATTCCTCTGGGGCGGGGCCCAGGTGGGCTGGCACATAGGGAGTGTCGTGCAGGCATCGGCCCCCTTCTGGGGACATGTGACTCTCCCCCAGGGCTGCAAGGCCCCTCGCTCCCACCTGCCCTTAGGGCAAAGGAGCCTGGGCTGTAAACCCGCCTGCCGGGGCGACACAACACACGGCGAGGGGGGCCTTGCCCCACACTGGGACCACGGGGTCTCTCCCTGCCACCTCCCGGGATCACCCTTCCCAGGGCATTGTGGGTCGGGATAGCAGGGCCTTGGCACAGCGAGGGTGGGCAGGTGCCAGCGAGGGGACGTACCTGTCCAGGTGCAGTGTCCCTGGGGGCAGATGGTGCCAGGTTCCTGCTGCCGGCGCCACCCTCCCTGCCCGCCAGCTGCTGGGCTGCTCTCTGCCCTCCCTTCGCCCGCTCACGCGCTCTCTGCCCTGCAGGTATTTCCGCTCCGGGGCTCCCCCCATCATCGCCCCCCTCCACACCCACTTCCCCCGGGACACAGCCGTCCCCGGCTCCTTCACGCTCACCCTCACCTGGAGCCTGCCGAACCGCACCACCGGGGTGTTCAACATCACCAGCCCGCTGCCCGGAGACTGGTTCCTGGCCGCCCACCTGCCCAAGGATGAGGGCAAGATCTCTGTCAAGGTGAGGGGCCAGCAGGGGAAGGTTAATGGCCGTGTCCCCAATGCCCTCTGGGGCACTAGAGCTGCCCCAGGCTGGGCCGGTGGAGGGCAAGGCCCCTATTGCTCTGACTGAGGGAGGGGGATTCCCCATGGCTGTGTCTGGGGGAGGAGAGGGGGGTTCCCCATTCTTCTATCGGGGGACAGAAGGGGGAGTCCCCATTGTTCTGTCTGGGGGAGGGGAGAGGGGTTCCCCATTGTTCTATCTGGAGGACAGGAGGGGGGATTCCCTATTGCTGTGTCTGGGGGAGGAGAAGGGGGTTCCCCATTGTTCTGTCTGAAGGAGGGGAGAGGGGAGTTCCCCGTGGCTCTGTCTGCGGGAGGGGAGGAGGATTCCCCATTGCTGTGTCTAGGGGAGGGGCAGGGGGCTCCCCATGGCTCTGTCTGGGGGAGGGGCAGGGGGCTCCCCATGGCTGTGTCTGGGGGAGGGGCAGGGGGCTCCCCATGGCTGTGTCTAGGGGAGGGGCAGGGGGCTGCCCATGGCTCTGTCTGGGGGAGGGGCAGGGGGCTCCCCATCAATTTCTGTGGCAGAGGCTGCCAAGCTGTGACAGGTGAGCCTGTGGGCAGAGGAGTGCTGTACCGGGGGTCTGTCCCCTTTCAGGGGTAGTGGCCCCGGGGCCAGCCAAGCCCTGATCTGGGACATGGCCCCTTTAAGGAAACAGATGTTCAGGGGAGCAGCAGATCTGCTGGGGAAATGGGGCCAAGTGTAAATCTGGAGCCACCTCCTGAAAAGCCAGCTGCAGGGGTACCCCCAGGAGGGTGACCAGCTGAGGGAGCAGCAAGCCTTCAGAGAGGCTCCCTGGGCTGGGGTGGCCTGCCTTAGTCACAGCCCCAGGTGCGGGGCTGGGGCCCCAGAACCAAGGGGCTGACGTGTGGGTCCAGGAGCTCTGTGGAGCCCAGATGCTGGTGGCCTGGGAATGCGGCCGGAGGCCTGGCCCCAGGAGAAGGGCCAGGAAGGCCTGCTGGTCGCGGAAGGCCTGGTGAGAGCAGGCGAGCCCCGTGGGAAGGACCCTGCAGAGAGGCCAGGGGTCACAGAGCTGCAGGCCAGGGGACCTCTCTGTGCCTCAGCTCCCTGAGGGTCACACTCTCACTGGGGTCAGCCCCTCAGTGTCCCTGCCTCCTGGGACCAACCCTCGGAGCCTCCAGCACGCCTGGGTCAAGCTGGGAGCTCCCTGCAGCGAGTCCCCTCAACCAGACCCCTCGGAGAGGCTGCACCCCCAAAGGGAGTGGTGCCCCCCGAGTTCCTGACTCTCAGTGACTCCCAGCCAGCAGGGCAGCAGCAGGAGGGTTCCTGGCTGTGTGGGACAAGCACAGACCGTGCCGAGCCCCAAGCTCTCCTGACCCCCCTCAAGTCCCCAGGCAGGAGTGTGTGTCCTGCTTCCCGCGGCCCACGCACTGATCCCCACCGGGCCCCTCTGCCATCCCGTGGTCTGTTTTCTAGGCATATCAGGTCACCTGGCTTCCCCCTCAGGTCTTTGTTCTCCTGCTGGTTGCAGGCGCCTGGCCTCTTGCAGAGGGTGGGCCCCAGAGCCGGCAGTGGCTAGGTAACAAAATGTCCAGACCATTGTCTGAGCCAGGCGGCAGCCACACCTGGGCCTCTACCAAGAATAAACCACCTTTTGCCACCACCTAGTTACACATGCAGCACAGAGGGGAAACTGAGGCACACCTCGAATTCATGCACAACATGCAGAATTCCCACTTATCATAGAATCATAGAATCATAGAATATCACGGTTGGAAGGGACCTCAGGAGGTCATCTAACCCAACCCCCTGCTCAAAGCAGGACCGATCCCCAATTAAATCATCCCAGCCAGGGCTTTGTCAAGCCTGACCTTAAAAACTTCTAAGGAAGGAGATTCCACCACCTCCCTAGGTAACGCATTCCAGTGTTTCACCACCCTCCTAGTGAAATAGTGTTTCCTAATAGCCAACCTAGACCTCCCCCACTGCAACTTGAGACCATTGCTCCTCGTTCTGTCATTTGGTACCACTGAGAACAGCCAAGCTCCATCCTCTTTGGAACCCCCTTTCAGGTGCTTGAAAGCAGCTATCAAATCCCCCCTCATTCTTCTTTTCCGCATACTAAACAATCCTAGTTCCCTCAGCCTCTCCTCATAAGTCATGTGTTCTAGCCCCCTCATCATTTTTGTTGCCCTCCGCTGGACTCTCTCCAATTTATCCACATCCTTCTTGTAGTGTGGGGCCCAAAACTGGACACAGTACTCCAGATGAGGCCTCACCGATGTCGAATAGAGGGGAACGATCACGTCCCTCAATTTGCTGGCAATGCCCCTACCTATAAATCCCAAAATGCCATTGGCCTTCTTGGCAACAAGGGCACACTTGACTCATATCCTGCTTCTCGTCCACTGTCACCCCTAGATCCTTTTCCGCAGAACTGCTGCCTAGCCATTCGGTCCCTAGTCTGTAGCAGTGCATGGGATTCTTCCGTCCTAAGTGCAGGACTCTGCACTTGTCCTTGTTGAACCTCATCAGATTTCTTTTGGCCCAATCCTCTAATTTGTCTAGGGCCCTCTGGATCCCATCCCTACCCTCCAGCGTATCTACCTCTCCCCCGCAAGCTTAGTGTCATCTGTAAACTTGCTGAGGGTGCAATCCACACCATCCTCCAGATCATTTATGAAGATATTGAACAAAACCAGCCCCAGGACCGACCCTTGGGGCACTCCACTTGATACTGACTGCCAACTAGACATGGAGCCATTGATCACTCCCCGTTGAGCCCGACAATCTAGCCAACTTTCTATCCACCTTATAGTCCATTCATCCAGCCCATACTTCTTTAACTTGCTGGCAAGAATACTGTGGGAGACCGTGTTAAAAGCTTTGCTAAAGTCAAGGAACAACACGTCCACTGCTTTCCCCTCATCCACAGAGCCAGTTATCTCGTCATAGAAGGCAATTAGATTAGTCAGGCATGACTTGCCCTTGGTGAATCCATGCTGACTGTTCCTGATCACTTTCCTCTCCTCTAAGTGCTTCAGAACTGATTCCTTGAGGACCTGCTCCATGATTTTTCCAGGGACTGAGGTGAGGCTGACTGGCCTGTAGTTCCCAGGATCCTCCTTCTTCCCTTTTTTAAAGATGAGCACTACATTAGTCTTTTTCCAGTCGTCCGGGACTTCCCCCGGATCGCCATGAGTTTTCAAAGATAATGGCCAATGGCTCTGCAATCACAGCCGCCAACTCCTTTAGCACTCTCGGATGCAGCGCATCCGGCCCCATGGACTTGTGCATGTCCAGCTTTTCTAAATAGTCCCGAACCACTTCTTCCTTCACAGAGGGCTGGTCTCCTCCTCCCCATGCTGTGCTGCCCAGTGCAGTAGTCTGGGAGCTGACCTTGTTCGTAAAGACAGAGGCAAAAAAAGCATTGAGTACATTAGCTTTTTCCACATCCTCTGTCACTAGGTTGCCTCCCTCATTCAGTAAGGGGCCCACACTATCCCACAGGCTAACATACCTGAAGAAACCCTTCTTGTTACTGTTAACATCTCTTGCTAGCTGCAACTCTAGGTGTGATTTGGCCTTCCTGATTTCACTCCTGCATGCCCAAGCAATATTTTTATACTCCTCCCTGGTCATTTGTCCAATCTTCCACTTCTTGTAAGCTTCTTTTTTGTGTTTAAGATTAGCAAGGATTTCACTGTTAAGCCAAGCTGGTCGCTTGCCATATTTACTATTCTTTCTACACATCGGGATGATTTGCCCCTGTAACCTCAATAAGGCTTCTTTAAAATACAGCCAGCTCTCCTGGACTCCTTCCCCCCTCATGTTATTCTCCCAGGGGATCCTGCCCATCAGTTTTTGAGGGAGTCAAAGTCTGGTTTTCTGAAGTCCAGGGTCCGTATTCTGCTGCTCTCCTTTCTTCCCTTTCTTCGTTACAGCAGGCTGCAGGGCAGGGCCCACATGTGCACCGGGGGGCGGAGTGGGTAGAGTCAGAATGCACGGCCAGTAGGGGCCCCAGATCACCCAGTCCTACCTGCTGTGCAGCACAGGCCCAGCCGCCCACTAGCCCCCCAGCCGGACTGGGAGCAGGAGACCAGGCAGTGACGTGTCACAGGCAGAGGCCAGGAGGGGCCGAGGGGCAGCTCAGCTCCGGCCGGAGGCCAACAGGTAGCTGGGGTCAGTGAGTGACCGGGCACAGGGCAGTTTGGCACTGGGCCAGCAGTCCACCTGGCTGGTGACCCAGGGCTGGGGCTGGTGGCAATCTGGCAGCCTGGGGCTCCTCTGGCTGCGGGGGTGGGGGACGGGACGTGCTCAGTGCCCAAATCTGGCTGTTATGTGGTGGGGGTACTCAGTGCCCGGATCTGGTTGTGGGGGGTGGGGAGGCCAATCGAGGAGGGGGAGAGGTGCCCGGATCTGGCCATTGTGTGTGCGTGGGTGCTTGTTGCCCGGCTCTGGCTGTGAGGGGGTAGGGGGACTGTTGGGGAAGGGGTTGAGGGGTGCCCGGATCTGGCCGTGATGGGGTTGAGAGGCCGGTGGGGGAGGGGTTGGGGGGGTGCCTGGATCTGGCTGTGATGGGTTGGGAAGCTCAGTGCCCAGATCTGGCCATGGGGGTGTGGGGGGCGCTAAGGGGGAGGGGTCGGAGGTGCCCAGATCTGGCTGTGAGGGGGTGGGGTGGCTCTGTGGGGCAGGGAGAGGGGGGTGCCAGGATATGCTCATGAGGGGGCGGGAAGGCCAGTGGTGGAAGGGTTGGGGGAGCCCAGATCTGGCTGTGAGGGGGTGGGGGGGCTCTGTGGGGGCAGGGAGAGGGGGGTGCCAGGATATGCTCATGAGGGGGCGGGAAGGCCAGTGGTGGAAGGCCGGTGGGGAGGGGTCAGGGGGGTGCCCGGGTCAGGCCGTGAGGGGGCGGGGAGGCTCGGCGAGGGGGCGGGGGGGCAGGTTGGGGGTGTGCCAAGATCGGGCTGTAAGGGAGTGGGCAGGCCGGTGGGGGAGGGGGTCGGGGGTGCCCGGATCAGGCCGTGAGGGGGGCGGGGAGGCTCTGAGGGGGGCAGGTTGGGGGTGTGCCAAGATCGGGCTGTAAGGGAGTGGGCAGGCCGGTGGGGGAGGGGGTCGGGGGGTGCCCGGGTCAGGCCGTGAGGGGGCGGGGGGGCTCTGAGGGGGGCAGGTTGGGGGTGTGCCAAGATCGGGCTGTAAGGGAGTGGGCAGGCCGGTGGGGGGAGGGGTCGGGGGTGCCCGGGTCAGGCCGTGAGGGGGCGGGGAGGCTCTGAGGGGGGCAGGTTGGGGGTGTGCCAAGATCGGGCTGTAAGGGAGTGGGCAGGCCGGTGGGGGGGGGGGGTCGGGGGTGCCCGGGTCAGGCCGTGAGGGGGCGGGGAGGCTCTGAGGGGGGGGCAGGTTGGGGGTGTGCCAAGATCGGGCTGTAAGGGAGTGGGCAGGCCGGTGGGGGGAGGGGTCGGGGGTGCCCGGGTCAGGCCGTGAGGGGGCGGGGAGGCTCTGAGGGGGGCAGGTTGGGGGTGTGCCAAGATCGGGCTGTAAGGGAGTGGGCAGGCCGGTGGGGGAGGGGTCGGGGGGTGCCCGGGTCAGGCCGTGAGGGGGCGGGGAGGCTCTGAGGGGGGCAGGTTGGGGGTGTGCCAAGATCGGGCTGTAAGGGAGTGGGCAGGCCGGTGGGGGAGGGGTCGGGGGGTGCCCGGGTCAGGCCGTGAGGGGGCGGGGAGGCTCTGAGGGGGGCAGGTTGGGGGTGTGCCAAGATCGGGCTGTAAGGGAGTGGGCAGGCCGGTGGGGGGAGGGGTCGGGGGTGCCCGGGTCAGGCCGTGAGGGGGCGGGGAGGCTCTGGGGGGAGGCTCGGCGGGGGGGGGCAGGTTGGGGGTGTGCCAAGATCGGGCTGTAAGGGAGTGGGCAGGCCGGTGGGGGGAGGGGGTCGGGGGTGCCCGGGTCAGGCCGTGAGGGGGCGGGGAGGCTCTGAGGGGGGCAGGTTGGGGGTGTGCCAAGATCGGGCTGTAAGGGAGTGGGCAGGCCGGTGGGGGAGGGGTCGGGGGGTGCCCGGGTCAGGCCGTGAGGGGGCGGGGAGGCTCTGAGGGGGGCAGGTTGGGGGTGTGCCAAGATCGGGCTGTAAGGGAGTGGGCAGGCCGGTGGGGGGAGGGGTCGGGGGTGCCCGGGTCAGGCCGTGAGGGGGGGGGCTGCGGGGGGAGGCTGGGGGGGGGGTGGGGGGTGGGGCGGCCGGAGGGGGCGGGGAGGTTGGGGGGGTTGGGGTGCCAAGATCGGGCTGTAAGGGAGTGGGCAGGCCGGTGGGGGGAGGGGTCGGGGGGTGCCCGGGTCAGGCCGTGAGGGGGCGGGGAGGCTCTGCGGGGGGCAGGTTGGGGGTGTGCCAAGATCGGGCTGTAAGGGAGTGGGCAGGCCGGTGGGGGAGGGGTCGGGGGGTGCCCGGGTCAGGCCGTGAGGGGGCGGGGAGGCTCGGCGGGGGGCAGGTTGGGGGTGTGCCAAGATCGGGCTGTACGGGAGTGGGCAGGCCGGTGGGGGGAGGGGTCGGGGGTGCCCGGGTCAGGCCGTGAGGGGGCGGGGAGGCTCGGCGGGGGGCAGGTTGGGGGTGTGCCAAGATCGGGCTGTACGGGAGTGGGCAGGCCGGTGGGGGAGGGGTCGGGGGGTGCCCGGGTCAGGCCGTGAGGGGGCGGGGGGGCTCGGCGCTCAGCCCCGCTCTGACTGCCCCCCACCCGCAGGGTCTGTACGAGGAGTGCCAATACTTGTTCCAGCCCCAGCTCGTCGTGCAGCGCCTCGTGGGGATCGCCGTGCTGTACCCCGGCTACATCAGCGCCCAGAGCATCGCGCCCCACAACCGCTCCAGCCTCTACAAGTGAGTGGGGGCCCTGCTCGGGGGCATCACGGCTCTGTGCCGGGGGCTCTCCCAGCTCAACGGTGGGGACGAGCTCCCTTCTCGGGGCTGGGGTCCCCTTCAGTGGCAGGGGATCTCCCCACTTCCTGCCCACCCCAATAACTGAGCCTAGCCAGGGCTGAACGTGGCCCCCCTCTTTGGGGGGATGGCAGCAGCCGATCATTCAGCCCCCCTCCCCCATTCTCAGGGGGACACCTGTCCCCCAAGCCGGTTCCCCCGCGGGCAGACTCAGTCCAAGCTCCCGCTGACCCCGGGGTCACAGGGCACCAGCCCCCCATGACCAGGGGGGAGGGGAGCATCCTGGGTTGTGCGTGGCCCACAGGAGGGGGCCTGGCTCCTGGCATGGGGCACATGGTCTTGGGGGGGGCAGCACCAGCCTCACCATGGGGGTCCCCGCAGGGCTCACGCTTCCCCTCCCCGGCAGGGTCTTTGTGCCCAGCCACACGTCGCGGGTACTGGTGCAGGTGCTGGGCTGCCGGGCGGGGGACCGCAGCGCCGCGAGCTGCCCACTCTGGCTGAAGGTGCGAGCCAAGGCCCCCCCGCTGCACAACTCCACCGCGCTGGACTGCCGGGAGCGGGCGCCCTGCCAGCTGGCCCTGGAGCGGCCCCTCTGGCACCACTGGTACTACGTGCTGCTGGAGAAGGCCCTGGGCGTGCCGGGCCCCATCCGCTTCCAGCTCACTGTGCAGCTCACAGGTGAGAGCCGTGGGGCTGGGCCGCGGGGTGGCTGGCGGGGACCTTGGCTGTCGGGGTAACCACCCCAGAGCCCAGGACCTGCCCCTGTGCAGTTCCCACTGGAGTCCGGGGGGCAGGGGCTGGGCCCCATCCGGGCTCTGGGAGGAGTGTGGGGGTGGAGACTGAAAGCCAGGACGCCTGGGTTCTCTCCCCAGCTCTGCGGCAGAGCCGCCCCGAACTTGGGCAGGGCAGGCCGTGCCTCTGAGACCGGCTGTGGGCAGCGCCAGGCCTGTCTTTGCTGGCAGCAGAACCAGCTTCACAAGGGCTGGGGTGGTGTCTCCATCCCTGGCAGTTGTGAAATCCAGAGTGGCTGGTTTCCGAGAGATCTGCCCAGCGGTTAGCACGGGGGCGGGGTGGGTCCCTGGCCTGGGTGATGCTGGGGGAGACTGGTCACAGCGGCGCCTTCTGGCCTGGGACTCTCTGGGAAGAGAGACCCGCCAGGGGGCAGGGCTGGGGCCGGGTGCTGGAGGGCAGGGCTGGGGCCGGGTGCTGGAGGGCAGCCCGGAAACCTGGTGACGGCACTGCCCTCGTTCCCTGCAGACTGCTCCAGGCCCGGTCTGTCCCGGGCCCCTGTCCTGCTCCCCGCTGCTGCCATGAACATGCCTCAGTCCTTCGGTGCCTTAGTCAGCCTGTCGCTGGGGGAGAGCCTGCCCCCCGCCGTGCCGAAGGGCACCCAGCCGCCTCCAGCTGGGCCGCCCCCCGGCGAGTGCTGCTGGCCCATCCGGCCCACGCTGCGCAACGAGCTCGACACCTTCTCTGTCCACTTCTACATCTTCTTCGGGCCCAACGTCTCGGTGCCGCCCAACCGGCCCGCTGTCTTCGGCATTAGCCTGCTGCCGGTGCTGGACAGCGGGGGGGTGCTCAACCTGGAGCTCAAACTCAATGTGGTGAGAGACCCCCCCATGGCGAGGGCAGGGCACCATGGCTCAGGGGCTGGGGCACTGGCAGGGCTGTGGGGAGCCTGGGGCTGGGATGGCGGGGGTTGAGGATTGGGGGGCACTGGCAGAGCTGTGGGGGTTGGTGGGTGCCCAGGGCTGGGATGGGCAGGCTGCGGGTTGGGGGGCACCAGCAGAGCTGTGGGGTTGTGGGGAGCCCAGGGCTGGGATGGGGGGGACAGCGGCTCAGGGTTGGGGGGACAGTGGCAGAGCTGTGGGGGTCCAGGCTGGAGTGTCAGGAACTCAGTGTTGGGCTCTGTCCCTTTCAGTCGTCCCTGCGGGGGGAGAACGTGACGGTCTTTGGGTGTCTGACCCACGAGGTCCCGCTGATGGCAGGAGACAACGCGTCTGTCACCTGTGAGACAGGTGAGGGCTGGCCTGCGCCCACCTCCGCGCTCCCCGGTAGGTGGCGCCAGAGGCGTGGGCCTGGGGCTATCGGCGCGCCCAGCAGGGGGCGCTGCAGGTGAGGGGGCTGGAGCAGGAGCGGGTCACTGGCTTAGACCAGGCCGGCTAACCCGGAGCAGCCCCATGAGGACGCAGATCCAGCTGCAGCCAGCGGCTCTGGGTTCAGTGAAAGCTGTTCCCAGCCGGCCGCGCAACACCCCGACCCCTGCATGCCGCATGCGGGGAGAGCTCGGAGCGGCTCTGGGTCCCATCACTGCAGCATGGGCTGCCCCACACCCCCTACAGTGCAGGGAGGGGGCTGGGAAAGGGGTTCCTGCCCCGGCAGCTCCGTCCCCGGCATGCTGCAGCAGGAGCGTGGGGATGGGAGACGCGACCATAACAGGGAGTGGGGGACTCTCCCCCCAGACAGCATTGCCCCCATGGCCCCATGGGGCTGCCAGCGCAGAGCGGGGAGGTCCTGCAGCCCGGCCCCTGCTCACTGCCGCTTGCCTCCCCGCAGGGTCCCTGGCTGGGTTCCTGCTGTCTGTCAACAGCACGGCCAGCCTGGCCCGCTTACGGATCCCGTACCCCCAGACGGGCAGCTGGTACCTGAGCCTGCGCTCGCTCTGCGCCACGGAGCACGGGTAAGGGAGCGCCGTGCCGGGGCCGCACTGGGGGCGGCTGGTGCATGCAGAGGGTCAGGGGGTGGAGCTCAGGGGTGTGAGCTGCGGCTGAGGGCGGGGTGGGACCTGCTGCCCCTTGGCTCACAGCGGGGGATGGCCCATGTGGAGGGGGCATTTGGGGGCGGCCCTGGCAGGAGGGGGGCTGAGGGGCTCCCTGGGTCATTTTGTACCTGGCCAATGGAGCCAAGTGGCAGCTCAGGGCTGGCTATGCCTGCATCCAGTGCACCCCTTCCCATGCCAGGCCGCCCCGTGGGGAGCCCTGCCCCTCTCCCTCTGCCAGGGCAGGCCTGGGCTCCGGGCGCGGTGCTGAGCCTGCAGGTCTGACAGGGCTGGGTCCGTGGTTCCCCGTCGTGGGCTGGGAGATGGGGGTGCGCTGCCTGGCTGTCCGACCCCCCAGCGCTGCTTACTCTGAACAATGGGGAAACCAGCTGGGTCTGCCAGTGACTTCCCAGCCACCCCAGGGGCACCAGCCCGGCCTGGCTTCAGCAGCATCGTGGGGCCTGTGCCAGGCTGGATCCCCAAGCAGCCCCCCTGTGACGGGGCTGCCCGTGGGAGCCAGCTGAGGTCACTCAATCAGGGTGATCTGCAAACAGAGCGGGGCAGACAAACCCCGAACGCTGGTGGATATTCCAATACTGAGATTTACCCAGCCAGCCCAAAACAGCTTTACCCAGCCAGCTCTTCAGCCCCTCCCTGGGTACTCAGACGTCCAAACAATGCAGTGCCCTTAAAGTACCAGCCTCCGGCCTCCATCCAGACACACACGTCAAACATAGGATGATAAACTCTGAAAATCTTATTTCATCATATAAAAGAAAAGGTTCCCCTGACCCAAAGGACCAAGCCCCAGACCCAGGTTAAATGATAACTGAGATCTTACCCCAGATACACACTTACAGTCAATCCTTATTAACTAAACTAAAGTTTATTAAAAAAGAAAAGAGAGAGTGTGTTGGTTAAAAGATCAATATACAGACAGACTTGAATTCAATTCTTCAGGTTCAGATACAGAGCAGAACTGAGCTTGTATTTGCCAAAAGTCCTTTTAGAAATAGTCCAGAGGTTATAGTCCAAAGTTCATATTCAGGGTGACTCCAGTCAGTGACTGGGGGTCTCAGTCCTTATGGCTTAAGGTTTCCCCCTCTTGAAACCCAGAGCAGATCTGAGATGAAGAAGGATCGTGTCCCAAGGTTTTTATACATTTCCTGCAGCCTTTTGGCCTGAGAAAACAATAGGTTTAACTTTCCTTCTTCCAAACATCCTGGCCGTTAGCACAGGGTAACTTATCCATTAACATTTCAGACACAGGTTACCACAACCTTCAAAGAGACATAGACAATTCTATTTCACTCAAGTGTCTTCCTAAATGTTAATATTCCTCTTTGAATTAAAACTACAGCCATAGACAAGACTTGTTTGTGGACATCACAAGCCCTGAGCACACAGCTCCCCTTCTCTCTCTCACAATGCCGGGTGCATTGCACAGCTCTCTCCATTTCCATCTCTTCCTAACCAGTTCCTAAAGTCCAGCCCTGGGTCAGGTCAGTCTGGGAGGTAATTAACTCTTTCTGGCCCTGTCACCTTTCAATGAGATATTATATTACACTCCGAACGTCACACCCCTCCGACAGGCCCCCCTCTGCAGGAATCCCCTCTGGCTGGAGTCCTGAGTGTAGGCTCCCAGGGTCGTCCCCCCCGCCCGACAGGCCCCCCACAAGAGGCCAACTCCTCCTCCCCACTCTGGTAACCCCTGCCCCCAGGTCGGGGCATCTCTTGGCTTAGTTGTCCCACTTGGTGCCTGCTCTTCCTTGGAGTCCCCACCAGCTAGAGCGACGGGTCCACAGAGCCATCACTGCAGAGCAACCCCACGGCCAGCCTGTGTGTGCCGGCCTGGGGACCTGGAGGGCCAGGGATCACCCCCCCAGCTAACCCAGGCCAGACCTCCGCTGACTCGGCCACACACTGCGGGGCACTGGGCACATGGCAGGGTGCAACGAAGCGGGCTTTGGCGGGACCCAACTGAGAGTGTCAATTCAGGACAAATTGCTCAGAGCTGGGCAGTCACAGCCCAAGGCTGGGGGTCCTTCACTACTAAGGCACCAAACCAGCCAAACAGAGAGAACTTTGGTCCCACCCCACTGGTTAACCAGAAGTTGTAATTTTTCATCCTCCTGCATTAACACCGCCCCCAGTCCCGTGTCGGAGGCGTCGGTGAACACCACAAAGGGCTTGTCAAAGTCTGGGTTTGCCAGAACCGGGCCACTGACCAGACCCTCCTTCAGCGCCTGGAAAGCCTCCTGGAACTGCTCAGTTCAGACCACCTTGTCTGGCTTCCCGTTCTTGCATAGCTCAGTGATGGGGGTGGCGATGGTGCTAAAGTGGGGCACAAATCTTAAGATAGTACCCTGTGTCACGGAGTCCCAGGGCGATACTCTGGAACTGCTCCCTACGAAGCCAGTCAGGACTCTGGGGAAGTCTCCTCTCTGGGAGCAGCCTGTCTGCAGGGCAAAAAGCTTACACAGCTTCCACCTTCCTGGGTCTGACCTCGGAGCATTCAGCCTCCTCTGCCCCTCCGTGCGCTTCCCACAGCCAGTCCACCCAGGCGGGGTCCTGGGGAAGCCAGAGGGTCCTGCCCCCCAACTCCGCAGTCAGACGGGACTCTCAGCCAACCAGTAAAACAGAAGGTTTATTAGACGACATGAACACGGTCTAAAACAGAGCTTGTAGGTACAGAGAACAGGACCCCTCAGCTGGGTCCATTTTGGGGGGCAGTGAGCCTGACAACCACGTCTGCCCTTCACTACTCATCCCCAGCCAGCCCCAAACTGAAACTCTCTCCAGCCCCTCCTCCTCTGGGCTTTGTCCCTTTCCCGGGCCAGGAGGTCACCTGATCCCTTTGTTCTCCAACCCTTTAGCTCTCACCTTGCAGGGGGGAAGGGCCCAGGCCACCAGTGGCCAGGAAGCAGGGTGTTGGCCATTGTCTGTGTCCAGACCCCTGCACACACCTGCCCTCTAGGGCTCTGCAATGATCATACACCCTTACCCCACCACCTAGATACTTAAGAACTGCAGAGGGGAAACTGAGGCACCCCCACAATATTCAGAGGAAACATTAAGAACAGTCCCGCTTTGTCACACCCCGCTTTTTGGTGTGGGGAGCAGGCCAGTCTCTGATCACCTCCACCTTAGCTGGTTCCGGCTTTAGGCGGCCGCTCCCCACCCGATGGCCCAGGTAAGATACTTCAGCCATCCCCACCTTGCACTTCTCCGCTTTTACAGTCAGCCCAGGCCCCTGGAGTTGGTCCAGCACTTGTCTAACCTGGGACACGTGGTCCTCCCAGGTCTGGCTAAAGACACAGATGTCATCAATATACGCCACAGCAAAACTCTCCATCCCCCTCAGGAGCTGGTCCACTAGGCGCTGGAAGGTGGCCGGCGCTCCCTTGAGGCTGAAAGGCAGGGTCAGGAACTCACAGAGCCCCAGAGGGGTGATAAAGGCCGATTTCAGCCGGGCATCTGCATCCAGCGGCACTTGCCAGTAGCCCTTTGTAAGGCCCATGGTGGTAAGGTACCGAGCTCCTCCCAGCTTGTCTAGGAGTTCATCAGGCCTGGGCATGGGGTAGGCATCAGATACAGTGATGGCATTGAGCTTCCGATAGTCCACACAGAACCGGATCGACCCGTCCTTTTTGGGGACCAGCACCACCGGTGAGGCCCAAGGGCTGGCCGATGGCTGGATCACCCCCAAAGCCAGCATGTCCCGGACCTCTCTTTCCAGGTCCTGAGCAGTTTTCCCTGTGACTCGGAAGGGGGAGCATCTTATCGGCAGGTGCGACCCCGTCTGCACCCGGTGGACAGTCAGATTAGTGCGTCCAGGCTGGTTGGAAAACAGCTGTCGGTATGGATGCAGCACCCCCCTGATCTCAGCTTGCTGGGCAGGGGTTAGCTGATCGGAGAGGGGAATTGTTTCCAGGGGGGAACCAGCTCTGGTCCCAGGGAATAGATCTACTAAAGGGTCGTCTCCCTGCTCCTCCCACTGTCCACACACGGCCAACACCACATTCCCCCTGGCATAATATGGCTTCATCATATTCACATGGTACACCCGGCGGTGGTGCGCCCGGTTCGACAGCTCCACCACATAGTTTACCTCATTGAGCTGCTTGACGACCTTGAAAGGGCCCTCCCAGGCGGCCTGTAGTTTGTTCTTTCTCACTGGGATGAGAACCATCACCGGATCCCCGGTGGCGTAGGCACGGGCCCGCGCCGTGCGGTCATACCAGACCTTCTGCTTCCTCTGGGCTCTGGCCAGATTCTCCCTGGCCAGGCCCATGAGTTCAGCCAGTCTCTCTCAGAAGATCAGGACATACGCCACCACTGACTCTCCATTGGGAGTGGCCTTCCCCTCCCACTCGTCTCTCATCAGGTCCAGGGGGCCCCTCACCCTCCTGCCATATAACAGTTCGAAAGGCGAAAATCCAGTCGACTTCTGGGGCACCTCCCTGTATGCGAACAGCAGGTGAGGTAAGTACTTGTCCCAATCCTGCGGGTGCTGGTTCATAAAGGTTTTCAGCATGTCACGGAGTGTGGGGGAGTCCAGGCCCTGCACCCCTCTTCCTGGGATCCACTGAGACTCTCAGCCAGCCAGTAAAACAGAAGGTTTATTGGACAACAGGAACACAGTCCAAAACAGAGCTTGTGGGTACAACCCGGACCCCTCAATCACGTCCTTCTGGGGGAGCAGGGAGCTTAGACCCCAGCCCTGGGGTTCCCTGTGTTCCTCTCCCCAGCCTCCAACTGCCAACTAAACCCACCCAGCAGGTTCCCTGCTGCAGCCTCCGTCCACATTTCTGGGCAGAGGTGTCACCTCCCCCTCCCCCTCCTGGCTCAGGTGACAGGCTCTCAGGTCTCCCATCCCCAGGACACATTCCCAGGTCAACACTCCCCCCTCCCTGCTGAGT